GCACAGAATACGCAGTTTTTAGTCGTAGGATGTCCTGACGAGAATATTTGTAGATCCTGGTCATGATTAGCACCGTTGTATGGATGAGTTAAACGATAAATTCCAACGTGACGAGCAAGCACGAGAGTGGAGCGCAGCCAATCGAAGGGCGCGGCATTGCCAGTTTGGCAGCGATCAGTGAAGTTCGCTGTACGATGATGATGGCCACAGACCGACTACATTTGCAGTCTTAGCATCCCCCAGCCGATCAACGCCATGAGGCATGGATATTGTACTACTAGATTGCTTTACGACCACCACCAACACCAAAAGTGTGTTGCAATACAACACGTCAAGAACGGGAAAAAGGCCTGGACTCGTAAAAACCAAATAACACCAACATATTGTTATGTGTTTGGAGCCTCTTATCTGTTTCGTTTTGACACCTGCGCTTTAATCATGTATGATGAAACTGTTGTGCAACACACTTTCCGAGTTCCGTTTTTGGTTCAACACCACGTAACCACTTTAGCTGGCGCATTGGTTACTGTTTTCGGACCGTCCACTTGAGTGAGGGACTGACGACAGAAATCTACTTCTGTCAGTTTGTTTTATCTCATGGTGCCTCTGACAATCAATTCGACTGACCCACTGCAGGTTAACCTGACACGACCTTCATGCTGAGTCTACTCGTCAAATTATTCATACTCTTACACTAAATAATTATACAACCTTCGTTCACCCTCTTACCACCTTCTACCTCATTGGACATCACACGAGAAATTTCATCTGGCCGCTTACTTCTCTAGCCCGTCACATCATCCCTGAAGGTGAACCATTTACGTTCGAGTACGAGTTCGATCATCCAGTGAACTTCGTCCCACCTCCGATGCGATTCACACAAAGCTGCACAAACAGCGCTTTTCAAACGGCGACAACCTCTTGGTGTGTTTGATGCATGCGACCTGGTTTATCTTGATGCAGCAGCATCCTCGAGTGTTTGTTGGACAAACGAGTGAAACAGTAATATTGTAGATGTGTAAATGCCAGTTGAGGCATTCGTGTACTGCCATGCACACACACATGCAATGGTGCACAACCTTTTCTACGGATTGTATTTTTCTACTGATGTGTTTCAAAAGAGTTGCGTGCCGGTAGTCGTTTTCTCCTCCCGTATTTGAATCCGATCAAGCACACTTATCCATCATATGGTGGTGTTTGTCGCGTACAGAATTTACCAATTGCACTGTTCACTTCCGTAACAGGAACACTAGTGCTTCATCGACGCACTGCAGCGGCCTGGAAAGATATGGCTCTTTTGTGCACAAGTCACTTCCGTCCGGAGGCCGTATATTCGTCCTATTTCGGTGGAAGTGAGAAGCACCGAAAACCGATCTCATTCGATCCGTATGTGCCCTACACGGATCAACCTTTAGAACCCCAATCACCCTTATATCAACGAGTGAAATTGGAAAAGAGTCCGGTAAGAATCTGATTTGTTTTTTTCTCGCCAATGTCCTCGTACCACCGGCGCTTTTCTTATATTCTATTCTGTTATTATATATTATATTATATTATATTTTCGCACACCTGTCTGACGCCAAACTGTGTGCCAAACAAATCATGGTACAATAATCTTAATGAAAATGAAAAGCGTTCCATAATTTGCATGTGGGCAGAATACTGACTGCCAGGTTGCCCAAACCAAGCCAAAGGCGAATCTTCTTGGAGAATTCACAACCGGAACCTTCGGTTTGTCAAAGCCTGACCCGCAAGGCAGCGGGGCGATGTGGGTGACAACTGCAATCTATTGGGGGCCCATGTCCGGTTCACCGAATCATTCGCCCTTTGGACGGGGTCAACCATCCATGGTGCCCAAACATACCTTGATACTCGGTCTAGCCGGTGACCACACCGGCCACAACCAGAAAATTGTGTGTGGTTCGTACACCTCACGGTTGGTTTGGAATTAGGGTTTTTGGCCAACTCCCCTAGGTTAATTACCAGTGGTCCACCAACCCGATTATAGCCCTGGATGTCGGCTTTTCGTTCTCTCACGTTGTTTGGAAAACACCTCCGTCACGAGAAGGGCTTCCTCAGCAGAGGCTATTTGAGATACTTGGTCGTATGAGAGCATTTCGCGAGGTGCAAGGGAAGGGTGATCAGCCACAACCCGAGACACTCATCCCCGACTTTATTGAAGTTTTCGGAGAAGCATCTTGCATACATGCAATTTAGTGGTTATACCTGTATATGGTTGAAAAGTGGGCATAGGATGATAAAGTCAAATCGACCGCGGTATCCAGACAAACGGCTTTGTATCGTTCGTGTAACGTGACAATGGACTGGTAGAGTTTGTCGTGCGATGCATCGTCTTCAGACTATGCCATGTGTCTTATCGAATTCAATGTGTGTGTGTGTGTGTGTTATCAAACTCTGATCCATGGAGATCTGCCAGTGATTTGCTGAATTGGTCCGTTACCCGAAACTACGCGGAGCGCGAACCCGCTTGCGCACATTGTTACGCCTGTCTACCTAGTCTTAGCCGAGCCGAGCCGAACAACGACAACAACTCGTACAACGGGTTGCGGCAAACTAACGCACAAAAATATCAAAGTGTACGGTGAAACAAACAACGAAAATTGTTATTTTGTTCTCCTTATCTATCGTAATTATTTGTTTTCCATGCCGTTCTGTTCTTTACCCCCAATTCCACCATTTTCTGTTATTTATGTGTTTTCGGTGGTACAACGTGCTTGCGAGCAAGCGCGTGATATCAGTTCACTTCATTTTGGACAACCATTAATCATGCACTTTTTTGCGCCTTTTTTCGTTGCAACCTTTTGTCTGCCCAATTGGATAAAAGTGCAGAAGAAAGATTAGAAGATTGAGAGCAGAGTTAAAGTGAAGATAAACAATTCTTATATACTAGGGTTCCAAGGATAAACAGTTGATGCACGAGCGCCACTGTTAGCGACTCTCAGCCATATCACTCAATGTCTCTAATCACCGGTTACGATGATCCCGATGTCATCATCCAGGAAGCCTAACGCGACCTATAATGACCTAGTTTCCTGGTTCAAGTTTTCATACCCTCATACCAGATCTGAGTTTGACCACCTTTTTTCCATCCGTTGCCTGCCTCGGCAAACATTGTGCGTCGGGGCAATCTATATTTGGTGACGTGCGTAACACATGTCCCAAACAGCGTACTTTAAGGAGGTCGACAACTGGCCCCAGTGACCGAGTGCGATTGCCTAAAACTCTACACCTAAACTCGGCATTAGTTGTTTGGTTGCCCCACTCGACATCCGGTTGTCTGTGAAGGATCGGGTTTATGCTGCAGCAGTTCGGCCAGTTCTGCTTTACGGCGCAGAGACTTGGCCATTACGGGAACAGGACAAAAATAAACTGTCGATGTTTGAACACCGCTGTCTACGTGGCATTGCACGAGTCTTGTAGGGAAACTGGACGAGCGATGCTGAGGTCAGGCGAAAAGTTTTAGGTAATCGCGGTCGTCCACTGGAACAGGTAGTCGACCTCCATAGATTACGCTGGTTGGGACGTGTTACGCACGTCACCAAATAGGTTGCCACGGCGAGCGATGTTCGCCGAGGCAGGTAGTGGATGGAAGAAAGTCAAGAGTGGTCTATAGCTAAGACCTGGCATGAGGGTATGAAAACTCTGACCAGGAGTATGAGTCACATAGGTCCCGTTAGGCTCCCTCGCTGGGGACCCAGAGATCATGGTTACCGATGGTTAGAGACAGCGAGCTAAATGGCTGGGTGTCGCAACCAGTGGCGTTCATGCATCTACTCATTATTCTTGTAACTTTAGTCTATGAAAGTTTGCTACCTTCCGCTTACATCTGCTCTCAACATTCTAATGATTATTCTGTTGTTTTATCCAAATAGGCAACCAAAAGATAGCAATCAAAACCGGTGCACAAAAGTGCACGCGGTTGATGGTTGTAAGAACTGAACTGAGCTGAACTAGAGAAATCTGTTGGCAAAGTACAATGCGTTTTTGTTTCACTGTCTTATTTTACCTCACCCAATAGGCATTCCTAAATCCACAATACCAGCTGCTGTTGCTGCTGCCGCTGATTATCCAGAAAAGCCGTTTTCTCTTAGATTAATTTGAACAAAACGCCCAGCGTTGCATCATAAACGCGCATATAAACGTGTATGTCATATTGTATTTGCTTTGGTAATTTTTTTTCGGTTGTAACGATTTTTCCCGTTTTGTGTTTTGATGCGATAAACACCCGTTGAACTACGGCCAAATTTTATGGGGTCTTAGCGGAAGCATATTTCGGACGGAAGTATTAAGTGGGTTCTTAGAAAAAACGAGTACAGAAATGTGATCAGGGACGAGTGGGACCGATACCGAAACTTTGACAAGTATACACGGTCTGTCATTCATCTGTTTTCTTATTTTCAGACAGGTGAGCTGATAAATAATCAGTAACGTGTTTTGTTTTTCGATCATTTGCAGCACAGTCGAGCCTCTCTGTCGGCGACTTATCGATCCAATCCGAAGTCCACGCGAGCAGTGTGGACAAAAGACGGTGGTCGACTGCCTCTGGGTTTTCCAACTCCCACTCCTTACGTGTTGACCTTCCCGGAATCGATCCAAAGCTCCTTTTCCGGTAAATTCCTTTACATCTCCGTTCTCCCCCCACTCTAGCTTTCTATCATTTATTGTAACCATGTAATAGCTCCTGCTGATTGCCCAAACATCATCGACTTTCGCCGTTTTTTTGCAAACATTCGTAAAAGCACTACGAAGCTCCCAAGCGCCAGCGACTACACATTTCTGATGATGATGATGGCGTATTTCCGAAGTGGTTCTTGTAATACGAACGGGAAACAAATTGAAAACAAAAGATCGTTCACTCGGCTTGTACGCAGTCAGTAACCTATCTCAAAAGTTTCTCGCAATGTCCTGAGTTGCAGTAAAACAAAATTATTCGATCAAGTGTTATTCTTTCCCAACATCCTTTCTCACTCTCGAAATCCCTAATGTGGTGATGAGGTTCTTTATCTCTTGTCTCGCTTGTCATCAATCGGTTTGACGTGCTCGTGAGCTTGTGTGTGTGTGTGTGCGTGCGCACATGCGCATACATCAAGGCGCAACTTCTGTTCTGATCGCGTATCTCATTAGCCAAGCAGTCTCTCTCTCTCCCTTGCGCGCGCGTCCAATTGCTGATTCATCTTGTGTTGGTCCCGGCCAGCACCCACCACCACCACCACCCATTTTCTCTCTCTCGTCCACAAGCGTTTCTGCATTGATCCTTTTCGCGAATAACACGCCTTCGTGGATTTCTCCCGATCCGTCTCCATCGATCCTCGTTCCGGCTGATTTAGCTCCATCTAATCAAACAGTCTGAGTCTATGACAGAGATGGTTTTCGGTAATGCAAATCGGTGTGGAATTGCTCATTCGTTCATTTATTCACACACACACACACACACACACACACACACCGCGACTTGTGTCCAGCTTCCTCCGAGCACAAATACCGATTTGATCATGCACATTCTAGACCGAATCACTACTGGTCCAGCCCCCGTCTCTCGGTATCCGTCCGTCTACGGGATTGGTTTAATTGCAAACTGATATTCATTGTAAAGAATCCAGAGCAATACAATCGGTCTGTAGTACTCGCGTGCGGGCAACGCGCGAACCGCTCTACCTATTTGTATCTTATTTTATCTCTCCCGCTCAGGTGTCTACGTTCTGACCGTAACGGATGGCTCTTCACAACTAGAGTTCCGGTACGATGTGGATGTAGTTGGACCGCCTGAGGTAATCCGTTCCTCCCCGTCGCTTCTGCTCGTCATGGAGGGCAAAAGTGCCGAGCTCGAATGTGAGATCGATCTGTATCGGACTTTGGTACGTCTGTCATCATGTCCATCCCGTGTCCCGTTTTTATCAAGTACCTTGTCACGTCGTGTTATTGGTTTCCAGTGTATGTGAGAGTGCACAAGGTACGCTCCTCGGTTTGTTTTAGGAAAATAATTGTGTATTTACGGTAACTCGAACCACAAATCCCAGGGATTGAGGTACTCCGTAGCCTGAAACTCACACCGGTAACCGATCGTTCCCAAGTTTTAGTCAAACTTCAGATAAACAACGCAACTAATTGTTGTATGAAACGAGTGATTCAGATTGTTGACTTCCCAGGCTTCAATGTTTTACCCGGTTCAGCTCCAGTGAGCCCTACAGTCAAAAGCACGAGGTTTGAGTTTCGCTTTGATCGGGTTCATCGATCAATAGTATGCAGACACCGGCCACGTCACCATTCGTAATAAACCGTATGCTTGACATGTGAATTCAATCTAGCCCAGCACATTTGATTGCGTATATGCCTTCAAATCTCCTAGGAATACTTATTTTCCTGAGTTGCTTTCGATGGAATACACATGCGCATAATTCGCTGTGTCTTCCCATTTTTGTCCGGCCAAATTAACCAATTGTCTGTCACCTAAACTGATTTGTGCACAAAAACCGACTGATGATTTCGGGCCATCCAAATCACATCTTCCAAATGCACTTTGTTTGTTCATCTGGTCGCATTTATCAAGCGGTTCAAGTCACTATCAATATCGTGTGCTCGATTCTGGCATCTGAGGTTCGAACCCATGGCCATCGAAGTTTGGTGAATGACAGCTACGTTG